GGTAGCTCAGAACTTTGAACCTCCCGTTTCTTACCACGGTTTTTATCCAAAAAGAAAAGATAAAACACAAGTTTCGAAATATCTTTTTCGTTTATGTGGAACAGAAAGAAAAAAAAAAAAAGCTCAAAGCAGTCACAGGTACCCGGCCAGTACCACAGAAAGCTGTGTGTGGGCAGATTAGAGGCTGAAAGGATGGGATCACTTGAGAGGAGGGTAAGAGGAGCCAGTCACATGCAGATGATGAAAGACTGATGAGCAGTGGAAGAGAGGGGAAGGGGAGCAGAGGTGCTGAGCAGGGAAGAAAGGAGGAACCAAGGGGCACCTTGTGGGCTCCGCTCAAAATGCTGCTGCTCATCGTTAGCTCCTCTGGCCACTGGAGGTCTGAGCCCCTCGGAAAAGGCAGAGTCACGAGCAAAAAATGGGAATCGGCTGAAGGATTTTTGACGAGCTGTCTCGCCAGCAGGAAATGCAGATTTATTGCTGCTGAGCGTTTTGCAATAAATACAAGCGTAGTTCTCGAAGTATACTAAAAAAAACCAACCAAACAAAAATAAATCTCCATTTCAACGTTATCAACATCCAGTATTTTTGAATTTCATTTTGAAATGACACTTCGTTTTGCAACATACTGTGCTTTGTTCACTTTAACACAGCAGCAGGTTTTGGAAATATAATTGAGATATTTTCATACGCTGATATTTTTTTCCTGTATCATGAATTTATGTCACATCAGGACATTTAAAAAATGCTCTGATGTGGGAAAAAAAGAGTCAAAATAATGACTTTTCCTGTAGCACATGCTTTCCCTGAGATAGGAAGTTCGATTCAAAGCATACCCTGAAATTAGTTGGACGCCCATTGACTTCAGTGGAGCAGATCTATGAGGAGATCTTGAAGAATAGAAGGAAGAAATTAGTGACAACCAATCGAAGGAATTCCTCTTTAAACAATGCCTTACAAATGTACACAATGATCCCTCGGTCCTGCCTTTGATGTACAGCTCCCCAAAGCTTTAACTTTGCTACTACAGGAAAAGCAGAATTGGGCTCCCAAACCAGCCAGGCACGAACCACATCTGTTCTCAGACACACTGGAATTAACTAATGAGATACTGATGCTGTGTGTTTGCATCTGGACTGGCAAGTCTGCACCAAACTCCTGCAAATACAACATGAAATAATTATGGGCACTCACTTCTGTGACTTGTCCTACGGCCCTTGGTGAAGTCAAAGCCTTGTTTGTGCTGTTTTCCAGAAATATCCATTACATTTCATAAGTAAAACTTAAAGCTATTTGGGACAGTATTTATTGAGCTAAAATTAGACCTACCAAACCAGGTCATCTTCGTTTCATGAACCTGATTATGTTCTCTTCTGGATAAACATAAAAAAGATACAGAAAGCTGAAGCTGAACAGACTCATGGGCAATATGTACTATTGTTTGGACCAAAAAAAAATGAAATAGGGTTAATATGAGCACCTCAGCTGATTTTAATTTGTGGCTCACTGAAAACAAAGCTTTTGTAATGGGGATGTTGATACAACCTTAACTGTAACAGCACAAACACTGCTACTGAAATACAGTTTTGAGTAAGCTCCATCAAGGAGTGTTTTGTAAATGAATAATGACTTTGCTTAAAGCTAATCAACATCAAGTGTGTTAAAAAAGATGAAATAGTGCTGGAAGGCAGTGGGAGGTAGAGGAGCCTCAAAGTGCAAACAGGTGCTGATCTCCCTTCAGGGGGGATTGAGTGGCACAGACCTTACAGGCCTGTCACTTCTGATCAAAGCAAGCTCCAAGACCACATAATCACCATCACCCACCTTTTAAAGGATGCCCTGATTTATCATCTGTCACTGTTAATAACTTAGCTACTCTGTCTAAAATACTTAAGAACATTACACAAGGATAACATTTCAAAAATTTCTTTTTTTTTTTTTTTTAAGAAATGTGTAAATGTTTTTAAACTAAAATGCACTGAAGTTCATCCTTTGAGGCCATCTGTTGTTGGAGACCACCTGTCATCAAACGACCACCTGAGCACATAATATCCCATCATTACAGAACTATCCCCTTGAAGCCATGGATTTTAAGTGTTAGAATAAGAAGGGTGTGTGTTACAGACACTGTTGTTACTGGGCTGTTCATGGAGTTTGAAGCCACGGGATGACAGCCATATGTGAGTAATGGCTGTATAATAACATACATATGAAATGTTACTTTGGGAAAAATCTGATAAGAGATCTGAACATTCCTTGACTGAGCTCCTCACATCCTTTCAACCATGGTGCTTGCACTGTACTGTTCAAAGTGTGCTAACATGTCACATCTCAAACTAAACCCTGAAACTACTGAGTTTAATTATATTTCTGTTGATAAAAAGCATCAGTATTTCACAGAGAAACAAGACTTTTACTATTGTAATTAGAATTTAGTGGGTTTTCTTTAGCTGAATCCCATTTTTCCCTGCTGATCTCACACTCCTACCTCATTAATCTCTCTTCAGTAAACAAAACTATTCTACCAAGTTGCCCTTTCCAGAAAAAGGAAGTTTCTGCCTTTCTTCTACCTGGCCCTAAGATACAAATCTCCCCCGGAATGCTGAGACACGACAACACAGTTTGGGACAATTTCTACCCCTTGAGAGTAATGTACTGCTCACACAGGAGAGAACAGAGCACCTGCACACAGGCCTGTGGCAAACATCTGATTCTTGATTTCCAGTGCATGGGAACACTAACAGAATGCATTTCTTTTAGAATTTTTATCTGATAAATGCCTTGAGAGCACTTGAAGAAACATCCTATAAAATTCAACGAATAAAAATACCAACACGATTTCACTAAGATTTAAAATCACTGTGAAAACTAAAGAAGTTTCAATAAAGAATATTTTTGAGATATTGTCTTAATTTTTTGTTTTGTTATTATCATTTAACTAATAGCAGCCTTCTAAGACAAGAATAAATTCTTTGTTAATTATTAATAATGCTATGTTAAATTAAGGAAATGTTGTGAAAGTAAGTATATCATTTTCCATTAACAGTCATGAGCTTCCAGTTCCTTAAGTAGCAACTTCAGTATTAAACTGTTAGGAGTTATGGGACAGTGAGAAGTACAATTTCTGAAATAACTAGTTCTTAAGAGGTCCTTAATGACAACCATTACACTCAGCTGCATTTACAGTGTACTAGTCCTGATGGAAAGAAATTACCACCATTATACACTTGAAGAATCTCATTTGCTTACCAGTAAACCCCCTTCAAATAATAACTCCTGAATAACTGCAAACTTGAAATAAATGAAATAAAACTTGAATATTTAGCTTACAGCTTAGCAAGAATCTATTTGTAACATGATGCATTGAGCCAAGCTTTCATATTTGGCATTTTCATGGAACTTGCAGTTCTGCTCTGGTGACAACGAAGGGCCTCAGCTGACAACTGATTAAACTCAGGAAGGCAGCAGGAATTCAGCCACTGCTGAACATCCTTGTGCAGTTTCCCCTCCTCCAGGATCCCAGTGGCAGGCTGTAAGAATTCACCATCAGCAATGAAAGCAAATAATTTTTTACAGGCTACAAAAACAGAGAGATGTTTAGTTCAGTGACTGATATATTTTAAAGTGAAGCCCGAAACCATTCTCTGAACCAACCTGTCACTATTAAAACCAGCACTAACCTTTACATGGGAGATTAAATTCGTGTGAGGCAGACACGTTCCTGGCAAGGTGACACGCACCACAAAACACATATTTGAAGGGTTCCTGTAGCAATTTGCAACACACAGGTTATTTTAAAACTTTGTATTTCTTAGGAACTAATGCAAGAGATCTTCCTCGGAACATACACAGATGCCCAGGCATTAATTCAGTAGTTTCAGAAGTGGATTTGTTTAGGGCAATGTCCTACTTTGGCTCCAGCAGGGTGTCCTCTGACAGGATTAACTTCCAGGGCACCTAAAAGCTGTGTATTAAACTGTGGCAAAAATATGTTTTCTCTTCCCCCAAAAGATAAATTTTGGATTGAAAGCTGCTTTGCATATGTGCATTTTAAGTAAAGTTGATCAGTAATACTTCCAATATCATTTTTGTCATTCAAGTTTCTAGTCATTGCTGGAAATACTTAAAAAGAGTACAAGAAGGCAAAAAAATTATCTGTCACACTACACAGACAAGTTGAAAAAAAGAGACCACTAATGCAGAACCTTTTGTTGTAGAGTTCCCAGCCACGAGATGACTGTCACAGGGATCCTCACTCTCCCCAAGTCCACTAAGACCTCTCTTCTGACCAAAAACCTGACCAAGGGTTTTCTAGAAGAGCCACTGTGAGAAAGTGAGGTTCTATTCCTGTCTCACCAGGTGAGCACACAGCCCGGTCAGTCACCTGCAGGGACAACCTCAGGTTCACACAGAATCATGCTCCACTAAAAACTTCTTGAAACTGTATTTACAATTTTAACCTTATCAGATAACTTTCCTAAAGTGGTGTTCGAATCCTGCGTTTGTATTTCCCGATCTTCCCTGAGTCTTTTCACAACTAATAGTGATACTTTCAGTAGTGTTGGAAGGAGGGGGGAAAAAAATTCCCCGAAGGGTAGAGGCTGAATTGTATTCAAGCTGTGCGAAGTGAGCCAGCTATCTTTAACATGCTGAACATACCCTATGCAAATTTTAAAGGGGTGTTAACCAAGGATCATTGTTGTAATCTCGGTGCTTTGTAAACATGGTGCTACTCTACATCACTGCAGCTTTTTACATCACTAAAGCTTCTTCCCATTCTGTTTTCTCAGCTGTAGAGGCTCACAGAAAGATGCAGCTTCAAAATCCGTTTATTTAATTCCAACTTGCAATTTCGAGTAAACGACTGTTCTCTCTGCTTATACTTGCAGGCAAGTATAACAACAACCATTATATTCCAAGTGTGCTTTTATCAAATAATCGAGGGGAAAAAAAGTTTATTAACCGCAAAGCACATCAGAGAAAGTTTAGAACACACAAAATTATCAAACTAAAGAACATATTTTATTTTTAATAAAATAGTGGAGCATGAAAAATAATTGTATATTACAAATATATACAGCACAAAACTGTGCACCCCCAGCACAGTAAAGAGCATCACTCTATACAAAGCTTCCCTTTGCAGAATCTAGTGCTTCTTGATCTATTCATAGTGAGAATTTGTTTAACAATAGAAAGAGTCAATAAGCCCTTTGGGTCTCTTTGAATTGATCCCCCCCTTTTTTTTTGCACAAATCAGTCCAAACGTGTATAACATTGGCTTGATTTCCATTAAAAAGCCACAAAATGTAACACTAAAGGGTTTCTGAGGACTAGACCTCTTAGTTCTTTTGTTAAGAGATTTCTTTTGTTGTCTTTATGTACAGCAAAATACTTGTTTCTCTTTTCATGTCATGGTAAGAAAAAAAATGTATTGCACATTATTCTTATTCACAAAGTTTGTGTCTGGTGCAGGAAGTTTCTCTTTTGGTGAAAGAATATTGGTGAGCATTATAGATTGAACCTATTTTTAGGCACTCCAAACCCACTAGGCTGAGTTGTAAAGGACTTTAAAGTTAGCACGGAAGTTGCTTTCCTGGATAGAATCCTTACTGAGGATAGGCCTCCTCGGGACCTTAGAGTCCCTGAAGAGACAATGCTCACTTGGGCACTTTTAAAACCAAATCGTTGCTCCACAAATCTTGGCTACACCTTGTTACTCAGAAACCTGTAGGAAATCCAGCTCAGCTACACGGAAAAGTTAATTGTTTGTTGTTGTGTTTGGTTTTGCTTTTATGTTGGTTTTTTTTTTAAGTTCCTTTTTTCTTTTTAATCTGAGGGCTGGATGCAATACTTAACTACAAATTAGTAACAGAACAGACTGTTTTAATTCACAATATTTCTTTCACTGAAAACCTTTCTGTAAGTACATTTACCTTCAGTTTTTCACCAGGTCCTGAATTCAGCATGGTACACTTTTTGTGCCTTGAGATATCAAACTGCTCTGACAAAATAAGCACCATTCTTTTTTTTTTTTTTAATTTCTGACTGCTACTGTGGACGTGTGTAAGTCTGTAAGGTGAGATACAGTCTTCTCTAAAACCTGCTCACACACAAGTGGGTGGTTGTAATGTCGACTCGTATTTTGCAAGGTGAGTTTTCTGTGGGTGTTGAGGTTTTTTGTAGATTCCACTACTCGTAATGACACTCGCAGGTTTTCTCCTACTTCTCTTCTTTAATCTCCGACTACAAACATTTTGCCAGGATTGAAGAGTCTTGGAAGTCCAGATCCACATGCCACTAGTAATGCCCACAACTAATAACATAAAAATTTTCACCATAAAGATTTCTACTGCTGGGATAGAGTTATTCATCATGCAGTCTAAATTTTTAGTCTGATTGTTCATCTTGCATTTCTGTTGAGTCGCCACAATTTTCCAATAATCCATATTCAGTCTTTCATAAAAATAGCAAGCTATCACACAGGTTGCAGGCACTGTATACAAGACTGAGAAGACACCAATCCTGACCATAAGTTTCTCCAGCTTGTCGGTGTTTTCTCCACCTGTTTTCATCACCCTCCTGATATGAAAAAGGGCCACAAAGCCAGAAAGAATAAAAGAAGTGCCAATGATTAGGTAACAAGCCAAAGGAATGAGTACAAACCCCGTCAAGGCATTCACATCCATGCTGCCAACATAGCACAGCCCTGTCAGCTCGTCTCCAGCCACCCTTCTCATAACTAGGATCATTATGGTCTTCACGGCCGGGATGGCCCACGCTGCCAAATGAAAGTAGCTACTGTTTGCTTCGATTGCTTCGTGCCCCCACTTTTTCCCAGCTGCTAGAAACCAGGTTAAAGTCAAGATCACCCACCACAAGGAACTCGCCATACCAAAGTAATACAGAACCAGGAAGACAATGGTGCAGCCAGTGCTCTCCAGCCCTTCCTGGATGACATAGAGCTGGCCGCTGTCCCTGTCACAGGCGATGCTTTCAGCACCTGAAAAGAGGCGGATGATGTACCCCACCGAGTAGACACAGTAGCACATGGAGAGGAAGATAATGGGCCTCTCGGGGTACTTGAAACGCTGAGGATCTATCAGAAAAGTGAGTACAGTGAAAGCACTGGAGAAGAAGCACAGAATGGACCAGATGGCAATCCAAATGACAGCGAACTGTTTGTCATCCCTGCTCCAGTAAACATCGACCCCTGGAGTGCAGAGCGGCGCGCAGGAAGCGCTCTTTTCCACATGGTGGAACTTGCCGGGGTTTTCACAGGAGGTTCTGCTGAGGCTGTCCTTGTGCTGCTGCAGATCGTGGCCACTGCTGGGCCGCTGGGGACGAAACATGGGTGGCAGCATGCTGGACCCTCTGGGTGGCTCATCGGACCCGTTGTTGGGGGCTTCCATGCACAGGTAATTGGGGTCGTTCTTGTTGGGCAGTTTGCTGCAGTCCAAGGAGTCCGGCCACTTAAAATTGAACTGCTCCATTATAGGGGAGCACTTCAGCCTCGCCTGCTCGCACATCACCCTGCAGGCTGGGATCGGGGTAGAAACCTGCTCCGTGCACATCGGGGCGTAGAGGGAGCAGAGGAAAAATTTCAGATGGCTGTGGCAGCCGTACTCCACCAAGGGGGCAAACTCGTGCAGCTGGATGGCAGCTTCCCTCTGGTTTTCGTGCCCCATCAGGTTCGGCATCCTCGTCATGTTGTACCCGATATCCTTGCACATGGGGATCTCTATGGGCTGGCACCTCCCGTCGCCGGGGCGGTCGATGTCCATGGAGCTGATGCCGGCGCAGAAGCGGCTGAGGCAGCAGAGCAGCAGGACGGTCCTGCCGGCGTTCCCGGCCGCCGGCCCCATCGCGGCGGTTCCCGTGGGGCCCGAGCGCGGCGCTGGGGGCTGCTCGGGGGTCACTGCAGCGGCCTCCCGGCCCCTGCCCGGCACAGCATCGCCCCCGAGCCGGGCGAGGGCGCGGGGCGGGGGGCGGCCGTGCGGGGCAGCATCGCCCGGGCCCCGCGGGCAGCGGGGGAAGAAGGGACGGTCCCCCCAGCCCACGGAGGCGCGGAACTTACTGCGGGCAGCCCGGCAACTTTCTTTTCCCCGGGCTTCCACTTTCGCGATGCGTCTTCCCGACCACCCTTCCTCCTCCTCCTGCTCTTCCTCCTTCCCGGCAGAGCGATGCCGGGATAGTTTTGGGTCCGGGCAGATCAGATCCGAGCGATCACCGCTTCGACTCGCACATGTCCCGGGAGGCTTTTTGGTGCAGCGGGTCTCTCCAGGGATTTTTTTTTTTCCTTTCCCTAGAACGGGTCACGGCTCCGCACTTTCGCGCCGAGAGGTGGGGATTGGTTTATCCGAGTGCAGAATAAAGGAGGAGGAGGAAATATCTAAGCCATTGAAGAGGGGAGCCTGAAAAATCCCCCCCACTCCCTCCTCGCCGCCCTCTGGTCTGGGTTTGCAATAGGTCGGCTCGGCTGCGCTTTGCCGAGCTGGGCTTGGCGTGTGCGTGTTGTCTGTGCCGGCTCCGCTCCTCCCGCCTGGCAGGAACTCCCGGGGCCGGAGCAGCTGGGGCTTTTGGGGGGCGGCTGAGTCCAGGGATAAAATAAAGTAAAAAAAAAAAAAGGCACCAAGGGAAAAAAAAAAAAAAAAAAAAGAAAGACCTGTGCAGGATCCGCCTCGCATACGACATCCACTTTGCATGAGAAAGGTGAAGCTGACACGGTGATTACTTTCCAATCACTCGGAACGCCTTGAAACCTCCTTAAGGACCCCTACAGGTTCTCCTTGATCGGCACAGATTAGAAAAAGCCCCATTTGTTTCTCTCTCCTTCTGTCTTTTCCTTCCTTTCTCCTTTACCTCCCGTTGCCCTCCCTTGAAAGTTTAACAAGATTTTTTCTGTAGAAGGCGTCAGCCTGCCCTCCCTCGCTCAGGTAGGAAGCCAGGGAGAGCGAAGGCTTCAGACTTCGTGTCTCCTAATAAGAGGGTTGAAGGTGGTGCCTCCTTGACTGCCTTTATTGGAGGGGGGGCAAAGCTTTAGCAGGGAGGATGTGGGTAGGAGGATGCATTTTATGACGAGTGCTATAAACTCTGCGCTGCCAGGGTCATAAAATATGGTTGCTTTCAGCCTGGAATCTCAGCTGTTTTCAAATGTCGTGCTTTGTCTCGAATTCCTAAATGAACAGGACAGGCAGGGTTGCTGAAAAAGTACCTGATTATGGTTTTAATCACGGTATGGCATCACTCGAAAAGTAGCTTGCCTTTTTTTTTTCTCTTCCTTAAATAAGAAACCCTAACTAGAGACGTACCCTTGGGGAAGTTGCTTCATCCACTATAGAAAAGACACTTACAGATTTGGGAGACGGGAATCGTTCTAAAGTGAGCTGCGTTCACTTTCAAAGTTAGGCTTGGAGATTTATTTTGCTTGTTGGTCTATGAGAGCCAGAAGGAGGAAGTTAAATCCTAAGCCAAACTATAATTCGCAATTTTACAGAGGGAAAAGGAGCACTTTGTGATCAGAAGTCAAAGATTAGCTCTACTCAACCCCCCTTTCCCCCCTCCTTTGAGCTTAGTTTAGCGAACATATTAATGAAGAAGGCAAATCTCTCTTTCTCTCCATTCATGCTCACCCACACAAACCGGGCTCCTCTCCATTAGGGCCTGTTTCTTATCGAAAAGAACACGGATTCTCCTGGAAACTCCCAAATCCCGCAGGGTCAGAGTTAATACCCCACCGGGCTCTAGAAAGGAAACTGTTGGCTTCCTCAATTGTGATAAGGGTGAAATGGATCCAAGCAAGGACAACAAACCAGGGCTGATGTTTGCCTTTGAAACCCCTGAAGATGGGGCTAGTTTTTGCCTGGGAGTAAAAGCCGCTATAAAAAGGTTTTAAAACAGTAGTCCTTTTTGTGGCTTTTCAGTGGATCGAGGAGATTATATTTATAAAGTCCTGGACTTGGGGACTGACCTTTCCTTGGGCACTTTTAGATTCCTTAGGGAATGCTACAAAAGCAGGCAGTGTTATGTGCAAAAAAAAAAAAAGCTTTATTTATTTTAGTGTGCCTGTGTGTGTGCATGTGTGTGAGAGAGTGTGTGTTGGGGCATTTCCATTCTTCATTAATCTAAGCCTGTTTTCTTAGTATTTGTATTCATCCTGATTCCTCTTCTAGAGAGCTCAGCTGGGGGTAGTAGGGAAGTGTGGGGAAAGCTTTTACAAGGGATAAGTAAATTCTACTTTAGAAAGTAGAATACTTTAAAAAGTAGAATTTAAATAATAATAAAGAGTAGAACTTAAATAGTGCGTAGAATGAACATACTCAATGTTTGCTTTGCTCAACTTGATTGTTTGGGAGCTTGTTTTTATTTCTTTTTTTCAACAAGTATTTTTGTAAAGAATATTCTATCACCATTGCTATTAAAGTAATCTAGAAAAAATACATGAAATAAAACATGGCCTGTTTCTTCTACAGCACTGATAAGAACCTTTTTCTCCTAAGAGGCAAAAAGAAACATAAATGAAAGTGAGAAAAAAAAAAAAAAGCAGGGGGAAACCTCCAACCTTTGTAGTTGTGTCTCTCTTAATTGATCTTTCATGTGCCAATTTAAATCAGCCTTGTTTTTCTAGCCATTATTTTAGCCAGTGCATCCCTCTTTAGATCATTTATTTTACTTTCTATATTTTTAAAGAGCTATCTCGGAGTATCAGCCATTCAGCTGAGCCTGAGTCAGTGCAAGTAACAAATAGAACATTATTATAGAAAAATGAGAGCGCTGAGAAATCAGCAACTGGAAGATACCTCTGTAACTAATAAATGAAAGGAGCCTTTTGATGGCTCCAGCTGAAAAGATATTTTATTTTATTTTTTTTCTCCTGTGTGTGGGATTTGAGATGTGTGATTCTATGGAGCAGCCAGGCACCCCTGCTGCTAGGCCCTGGCTAGGAGTTGGCCCCCCTCTGGCAAATGTTATGGAGAATTGGGAGGAATTTTATGGCTGTCTTTTCCCTCAGCTCTTTTTTCTTTTGTCTTCTTTGAAGAATGACTTTAGACATTTTATTTACATATTTAACCATGGATGAAAGAGGAAAAAGAAAGCATTTGGGCCGTTGTGGGAATAGTGATATGTTTAAATTAATGGAAATCTTATTAGGCTTCTAAAATTTTAAGCAAAAGATTTTTAATGAAACTTTATAATTAAACATGATTTCAAATAATGTGCCAACTCACAGGAAGGATGCATTTCTCCCTCAAGCCATCCATCTCCCCACCTCCCAAAAATGTGCAGAGGAATAATCTGTATCTTAAAGTCCAGCTCTTCTTCTGTCCCGTAAGGAAAAGATTAAAAAACCCGAATATTTAATAAAGCATGTGATAATTCAAACCATGACTAAATATTTTGTAGGTAAAGCAAACCATAAACAAGCCAAGAAAAAAGACACACCAGCACCCCTCATCCCTGCAGTGGCAAAGTTTAATGCTGTATAATCTATTACAGTGCCAGTGTAATAAAATACTTTGATATGGGGAAGGGTGAAAATCAAAGTTGCATCTATTTTACCCATGTTAGAGTCAATGGAAATTACAGTGCCGGGCAAGGGTTTCTGAAATGGGATTAAAGAAGACCCAAATAACCCATTTGAGATAAAATGCTCTGACACTTCAGCAGGAAAGAGAAATGAAATGATCAGCTTGGGGAGTTGAAGAGTTAATTAGTACATTAAAGATTTTTAGTTCAATAGTCTAAATTACTTATGATTAACAATAGTGTGTTATGACAGAACGTGAATTGATATTGGCAATTCTATGTCTAAGAAGTCTGTAGCTTTAAACTGTTATTCAGGTTTAATATTTCTGGCCAGCTGTTTATTACACAAAAAAAATAGAGATCAGTTTAATGTTGTTTCCATTCAATAACCCTACCCTCATCTGTATTTGTATGCATTTATTCAGATACTTTTTAACTCCTTACATCTGCTACGCATTTCATTCCAGTAACAAATTCTAACATATATATTAAAAAAAAAAATGTTAGCCATGCAGAAGATAATAACTGTAAAATAAAAAGATCACACACACAGAAAGAAAGCTGATAACTATTTTAGCAATTTTATAAGCCCATATTTCTTACTGAATTTCCACTGGATATTAATAAAATTAAACGGCATGCCGAGAAATGATTCCTTTTTAAACCAAATGGGCTTGTTTTTCCCTAGTCCCAGTATCTTTGTAGCAGTTTTCCTCCAAAATTTAAGTAAACATGCCTGCCTAATAGGACAGGCACACTGAGAAATATTCCCATGCAAGTGCGAATATTCACAATGCACAAAAGTTTTAATTGCCTTAGAAAGCCACCACCACCAACAGTTAAAAGAATTAAAAACAAAAACAAATCATAAATGGCTGAGTGGGTTGTATAGTATTGCTCTAATACAATTTAGCTGGCTATTTTAAGGGCACTTCCCTTGAAATGTGGTTTGAAATATTACCAAAGGTTCGACGGGGTGCATTAGTGTGAATTGCAAATCAGAACATTTCTTTAATCCCCTTTTCATGGCCTGGCTTCGGATCAGTGGCATCTAAGGGACTCCCCACTGATTCTGGCTCAGGAGGAACCATTCACTGGGGCAGCTTCCCTCCTCTATTCCCACAGTCCAGAAAACAACACCACAGACAGACACCCTCCAACTAAATTAGATTAAACTCCTTCTCTTCCACAGCACATTAGCCTTTTCACTGCCCAAGATTCATTATTCAGCTACTCCTAATTTAAAGATGCAGTATTTTTCTCCTCTTAGGGACGAAAACAACAAACAAAACTAAAGGCAAAGCAGGGAAAAAAAAATAAAGACAAGAAAAAGGAAAAAAAAAAAAAGATTCCTGGTCAGAAATAAACCTGATAATTCTAAAATTGCATAAGGGTAGGAGAATATCCTTTTTGCTTGTACTCTAATATTACAAGGATGTTATAATTTTAAAGCACAGGTCACAGCAGAAAGTTCTACCTACACTAAAATCAAGGGCAGGCCCAGTAAAAAAAAAGAAAAAAGAAAATGCACACAGATTTTCTTTTCTTATATACACCATTCAATAAACTTTATTCATCAGTCTTTTTGCATGCACTCTTTGCACATCTTGCAGCCAAATCTAGGCTTGGAAAGGCATAAACATCGTGAAAACTGCATATGATAGTGAGGATTAATTCGTTTTCTTGTCATTTCCTCCCTCATTTCCAACCATAACTTGTCCTCTCTTACTTTTCAAGGTGAAAGCAGCCTTTTAGAACCTCTCTCTTATTCAGGTATGAGTCTGCACCTCTTCACAAGTACAAATGAGAGCAGGTAACAATGGACAGGAGCAGTAAGACCCCGAGCAAACTGTCTCCTGGGGCTCTGGGTGGCTCTTGCTGC